ACCAACCCAATGGACACATAGCATGACCAAGAAATAAACTTCTCTTGATTGAGGTCATTAAAATTTGGGGGTTGTTTGTTACTCAGCATTAGCCCATCCTGGCTGATATTTCCTAATATGAATAATGACTGTAAGATTTACCTCAAAGAGTTGGTGTGAGAATTACTAACCTACAGTAGGGGATTAAAAATCAGTCGTTCTTATTACTATGACCCCCTTTCTCCTGGCTGTCTGTATCTACTGCTTGAATCAGACATTCCACCTACACACTCATACGTGGCTCACTGTGGTCCATTTCACTCCACCCATAATTCTCTCTCATTTCCCCACTCCCCCACTTTCCAAATCCTTTTCTTTGTCCTCTGTGGAATACCAGCTCCATTGGGGTCAAACTCTCTACACCTGTTTCTTATCTTTATTCTCCAAATGGAAACAGAATTTTAGAGTTAAAAAGGGATTTCACTTCTCTAAGAATCTGTAGAAACAGACCTTCAACCTCACTCTCCAGCCATTGAACATCTATAGACATCTTGACATCTGGACCTCATCGGTAGAAGTTACTTCTTCCCTGAGAGCTAGGTACTCTAGGTCCCTAGGTACTCCCCCCCATTTTTTTTTTCTTTCAGCGATTAGCATTCATTTCCTAAGGACACCAAATCACCTTTGGCCTCAAAGGAACCTGTAGTCATTTAGCTGGTCTGACCTCACCTCTCCCACACATATTTTGGACACTTACCTTACACTCTACAGTTAACGCTGTACGTACATTTTCTTTTTTCCCCCCTTCTAACCATCCTCATCACTCCCTCGACATTTTGCTGAAATGCCAGATAGTTGCAGTGCCTGGGAAGTCTTACCAGATGATTTCTCTTCTCTTGTTCCTGGCCTAAAGGAAGACAATGAACTGTACAGACCCATGACCACACGTTATATGTGTTATCTAAAACTGAAATAATGGACTTTTCTGGACATTTGGCATTAGTGCTCACCCTGACTTCTCAGAAACCTCTCCTACCATAGTCTCTGGTTCTCTTCCTGGCCATACTTCACCTCTCTTTTCAACGGTATACCTTTCTCTGTTCACTCATCATTTAGCAGGCAATCTCCAGATTTTGTCCCTTTGACTCTTTTCTTTTTTGTCTACATGCTTTCTCTAGGGGAATTTCATTTACTCTTATGTCTCGTATGACCATTTAGATGTAGATGACTCCCAAATGACTTTCACCAGCACTAACTTCTCTCTAGAGCTTTAGAAGTAGAAATGCAGTGTCTTATTAAACATATGGAGGTGGATGTCCTATGGACACCTTAAACTTAACATGGCCTCAAGTGAACACCTTTTCTCCTCTGACCCCAAAACGGAACTATCTCTTTTCTCTTGCGTTAGTGGCATCACCATTTACCTGTCTCCCAACTTAGAAACCTTGGTGTTATTCTCACCTCCTTTTTCTCAACCCCCACATATAGTCAGCTGCCAAATCTTGCTGCTTCTAATTTTAAAACATCATTTGACTTTGTCTCTTCCAAACTCTATGACACTGGCTTAAAATGAGCCTTCAGCATATCTTCTTTGGACTTATTGCAACAGCCCTGTCCATAATTTGTTTCCCTGATCCCGGGAATAATATTTCCCACCGTCCCGTATTCTCTAGCCTGCCATTATAGTTATGGAAAACAAAGCTAACCAAATCTTTTTTCTGTGTAAAAACTTCTGCCGGCTCAATATGCCCTTGAGGTAAAATTCAAACTATGTAGTTTGGCTGCAAAATTCTTAACCTCTTGTCTCTGTTCTACTTCTCCAGCTTGCTTCCCTTCTTGCCTTTCTGTTCTCTATGCACAACCTACGTTCGTATTGCCTCATATTCTCACTACTTCCAGCACAGAACCATGCTTTCAGAAGTCAGAAGTCGATGTATATATGTATATATATATTTCAAGATATTCTTTTCCTCCTCTACATCCGTATTCCCTTGAAAAATTCCTACCTGTATTAAAATCAAGTTTGAGCATCATGTACTCTGTGAAGTCTTCCCCAATTCTTCTAGGCTATTGATGTTCTGTTCCTTTTGTTCCCAGAACACTTTATATTTGCTGCAGACTTTACAGTGTGGTTTTTAACTTTTTTAGTTACATGTTTTCATCTCACATTAGACTAAGCTTCTGATTGTCAGAGAACTGAATAGAAGTTGTTTAATGAATATTGACGATTTAAGGCAACATTGTTTTCCTCCCCAGATGTTTTTGGCATCAGTCTCTTCTTTTTTTGTTGTTTCTTTCATTTTTTAAAAAAGATTTTATTTGTTTATTTATTTAGTGAGAGATGGGGGAGGGGCCGAGGGGGGGGAGAGAGAGAATCTCAAGCAGACCCTGTGCTAAGCATGGAGCCTGATGACATGGGGCTCCATCTCAAGACCCTGAGACCATTACCTGAGTGGAAATCAAGAGTCAGACGATTAACCCACTGAGCCACCCATCCCTTTTTTGTTCTTTCTGTCACAAACCTAATAAGCAGTCAACTCAAACTTAGATTTTTAATAGCCTCTAGATGACCATCTAGAGAAGCACTGTTCAGTAATGTAGCCACTAGTCACATGTGGCAATTGAGCACTTGAGGTGTAGTTAGTCCAAGTTGAAGCAAGCTGTAAGTGCAGAACACACATTGGATTTTGAAAACAATAGGAAAACAAGAATGTAAAATATCTAATTTTTAATTTTAATTTAACAATTACTCATATGTTGAAATGATAATATTTTGGATATATTTGATTAAATAAAATATACTATTAAAATTGATTTGCCTGTTTCTTTTTCTTTTTTCTATTTTTAAATGTGGCTACTAGAAAATTTAAAAATATATGTGGTATGCATTATATTTCTATTAGACAGTGCTGTGCCCCTTCAATTTCTTGGTGGTAAGCCTGTCTTCTGTTTTTTTCTTTTCTCTCTCTTTTTTTAAGATTTTATTTATTTATTTGTCAGAGAGAGAGAGCAGCAGGCAGAGGGAGAAGCAGGCTTCTCGGGACTCGATCCCAGGACCCAGGGATCATGACCTGAGCCGAAGGCAGACACTTAAGTGACTGAGCCACCCCGTGCCCGCTTCTGTTTTTTTCTTAATCCTTGTGCAGTAAGCAGAATTTCCTGGAGGGGAGGAAACACTCAAAAGTCACGTTTGTTAACTCGTACTGTTGGACTAACTTTCCCCAAACATGCCTTTTTTTCCCATGCTACTATCCTACTTAAAGAATCTGCAGGTTTTCTGTTGTCAGCTGCATCAAGGCCACATTGTTTTGGCTGGTTCCCCAAACCTTCTTTAATTCTGTCGCACTTCACTTATCCAACCTTATCTCTCACTCATCCTAAGTAGTACCCCTGTCCGTTAGTCTGTTTTCTGAGCTCCTTGAAGTCTTTGTGCTTTTGCGCATACTGCTCTTGCTCAGTATCTCCTTCCGTGGCCCCCATCTAAATCAAACCAGTCTTTAAGATGTGACTTAAAAGTTCTGCCTCCCACATGATTTTTTTTCTGCTTTTTGGAACTCACTCTGATATCCTACTAGTTATTATTTGTCAGACCCACACAGTTTAAGCTCTAATTTGTTCAATTATTCAGCCTTCAATTGAATTCCACAAGCTTTTTTTTTTTTTTTTTTTAAGAGAGGGAGGTGAGGGAGGGGCAGAGAGAGAGGGGGGCAGAATCTTAAGCAGGCTTCATGGCCAGCAGGGAGCCCAAGGTGGGGTTCAATCTCACCACCCTGAGATCATGACCTGAGCTGAAATCAAGAGTCAGAGCTTAACTGACTTAGCCACCCAGGAGCCGGATGAATTCCACAAGCATTTTTGAGATCCTGTGCCAAGAGCAGGGATAGGTGAGCATGAGGGTCACCTTAATGGAGGACCTAGGCTAGGAACTGGCCCTGTAGAAAAGTATAAGACACAGGCCCCGGGTCATTGCCTTTCTTAGCAACTGCTCCACCACAGGCATGTTTATTCTGATTTCTTAAGCCTCATATGAGAAATTGCTAATAAGCCATGATATGCCAAAAAGTCAAATAGCCTCACTCAGGGTTCAAATCCCATGAGGCCCGGTTGGGGAGCTCCGGGTTCTAATTGTCTTCTTCCCTAGTTTTCTTTTTCACGCATTAAAGATCATTGCTTATACAGCTTTCTGTTAAAGTGAAAACACCCAGGATTTGCCTCCCTGGCCACACTCTCCCCTCCTTATGAAAGGCTTATTGCTGGGTGTTTTAGACTCTGGAGCCAGATTGCTGCAGACTGCAATCTCAACCCCTCCACTGTGTAGCTCTGTAGCCTGGGCAGAGGCTTACCTCCTCCATGCCTCATTTTACACATCTGTATAATGAGAATAACGTATCATAGGGTTGTGATAAGGGTTAAACAGGTTAATAGTTCTTGGTACACAGTAACCACTCAATAAATGTTAGGTCTTAATAGTTGTCACTACCAGACTATTTCTCTCCCATAAAATGTAAGGGACTATTTTGACTATTTTATTGCACCCGTGTCCTCCAACTTCTAGGAGTTAGTTCCTGTTTCAAAACTGCACGTGAATAAACATGGAATGAATACACGAAAGCACGCACTTTGTATCTGCATTTCCGATGTTGCGCCGTCAAGAGCAAAGGCAAGGGAGCAAGTGTAAGTCACTTCTTTGCAAAGGTTCTTCCTTTACCAGGTTTTACCCGAGGCCCTCTGGGACAATCTCATCCCCAAACCGGGGAAGCCCACAGCGGGCAGTGCGAAGTACCTGCCGGGAATCACCTTGGCCGAAGGGCCTAGCGCAGGAAGTCCCGGGTGGCCGGCTTCCTGGGAAGTTCGGCGCATGCGCATCGCGCCCAGCGCCTGGGTTCCTTCCTGCGCGCCACCCGGAAGCCTCGGCTCCGTCTCCCTCCTTCCCCCTCCCCCTCCCTCGCCGGCTCAGGCGGTGCGTGCGGGGCCGGCCCGGCGAGGAGGCGGGACACGTCGGCGCTGCCACCAACGCCGCCGCTCCTCCTCCAGTTCCAGCTGCCGCCGCCGCCGCAGCCGCCGCTTCCTGGGCTGAGTCCGCCCGCGGTCCCGGCGGCTCCAGGTGTGTTCTCGCTGCCCAGCTCCTGCCCGAGTCCGCCGCCGCCGTAGCTGCCCCGGGCTCCCCGCCCCGCTGCCGAGATGGCGACTCGCTCCTGCCGGGAGAAGGCTCAGAAGCTGAACGAGCAGCACCAGCTCATCCTGTCCAAGCTGCTGAGGGAGGAGGACAACAAGTACTGCGCCGACTGCGAGGCCAAAGGTAGCGCGGACGTCGCCGCCCCAAGTCGGGGCCTCCTGCGGCCGGTGACCTTCCCGTCGCCGCGGCGCCCGGGGCCCGAGCGGACGCCGCGGCTGTGCCCAGCTGGCCCCGGCCCTGAGGGGAGAGCGGGCTTAGGCTCGAGTAGCCCCTCACCTCCACCAGAGGCGGCGGCGAGGTCAGGCCAGTGGGCGCCGGCACTGGCCTTAGCCTCCTCTCTTTCCCGGCCCGGGGGCAGAGCCGGTGCCAGCGTCGCGATGCTCGGACCCTCTACAGGGCCGGGCCAGAGCCGGTCTGGGAGCGCGGAACGGGGCGACTGCCTGGCCAGTGCTTAGGGTTAAAGGGTTGCCCTCCTCCCGCCTCAGCTCGCAGGTACATCCGTGGGTGGGGCCCCCCTTAGTCTCGGTCTCCGCCTCGACCCTCCCCCAGTGACCACGGCGTCCCACTCGGGGCTCAGATGCTCCGTATCCCAGGTGGAGCCCTACCTGCCTGCCCACCTGACAGCTTTGTACAGGGCTTTTGCTTCTTCCTGACAAAGGGTATGGTGGTCCTTTTTGGTGGGTTGGAGTTTTACTGAGTGAGACCATTGGGGAGGGGTCTTTAGTAGTAGTAGTAGTAGTAAAATTGTTTTTTTAGTCGGGATATTAACCCGAATGAGGAGGAATTTCATTATATGAGTCTCTTGGACAGTGGGCTTAATGTTCCTGAAGCTTTTAATAATTAGATTATCTCCGACCAGTTGGTTTGGGAGAACATGTGGACAGTGGTTTGTGTGGCCCAGAACGTTGAAGGTGCATTTTTTAAAAGATTCAGAGATTGACAAAAACCTAATTTTAGTTTGTTCCGTTGGAGGGCTTCTGCCTCAGCCTTTAAAATAGATACACTATTTTTAGCCTATATGTTTGGGTTTGGAGATCTGGTTTATATTTAATGTCTTATAAGTAATCTCCTGAGAAAAATGTTTCAGATTTTAAAAACAAACCTATCATGTGTTTAGGAAAAGATCTTGCTTATTTCTAAATTGGTTTGTTTATTCGGTGAAGAATAGGTAGTTCTCCAAAGCAGGAGTCCCTCTTTGAGAATGTCATTTCAGATTTCTGTTATTGACTTAGACTTTTCTCGAAGCTTTACTGTTCTTCCTCAATACTGTATAAATAAGTCACGTTTCAGTAGGCTGATAATGTTTGATTAGACTAAGCCACACACCATCAGCAAGTCACTTCACTACCACACTACCATAACAGGTACCTGATTACTGGAAGATCATGTGGGAATACTATAACCAGACCATTTTAAGAAGCACTTTTCAATATCACAGTAACTTGACTGACCGAACCTTACCTTTATTCTGGGTAACCTTTCAGATGATGAGTTAAAAATGCCTGATTATTATGGCACTATTTGTTTACTTGATACTGATTATGTGTGTGTGTGTGTGTGTGTGTGTTTTCGGGGGGAATACTGTATTGAGGCTCAATTACTCACCACTGCACTAGTAAAACACCGAAAAATAGGACCTTTAAAAGGCCAGAAAAAGAAATGAGTTGCATTTTGAGTGATAAGTAACATGGTTAAAAAGAGATGTTAGTAAAAAAAAAAAAAAAAAGATGTTAGTATATATTAAATCTATTAAAAATTGAATAGTAACAGTTTCAGTAAGTACCTTCATTAGGTATAGAAATAAATGAAAAATAATTTTTGTTTAAATTTCTGTCCCCAAAAAAGTACTTTATAAAATCAGATTTTCACTGATGCTTCCTAAAATAATGTATAGGTTTTGATAAATCCATTATGTGCCACATGGTAACATTTTCATTCTCGGTTTTTGAAGTGAGGAGAGGAGAATCGTGTACTTTTTAAATTAGAACAAAAATTCTAACAGAAGGAAAAGGGAGCATTAGTTTTGCTCGCTCTTTGTATTGCCACTGAGGTCAATGGATATATATTGAATGAATGTTTTTATTTTGGTTTTGTTTAGTTTTTTTTTTCGTGGGTTTGTTTTTGAGAAATGTAGGAAGAGGGAGAGAAGAGAGTAGCATCAAGAGTTTGAAGGTAGGATGTGAAGGGCATGAACTTCAGTCATGATTTGGAAAGATCCTTAGTTTTTCCTTGATGCTAAGTATCGAATAATATTAAAATGATCTAAATTATTTCACTGTTTTATCCTGTCTTCCAGGAAAAAATATCACAGTTAAGTTTAATTAGACTTGATCTCATAGTTGTAGTAGTGGAAAAATTTGACATGATTGGGCTATTGATATAATTAAATATATTTTGTAAAAATTTTGAGTCTTCGATATGGTTGAAGCCCATTATAGAGCTCTCTTAGTAGAGTTCTTGGCTTGTTAAATGATTTTGGATTTATTGTTATATATGCCAGATGACATAGTAAATGTAGGTAGTGAAATTCTGATTAAATGTATTTTTAAAAGACATGCTACGGTTCTTATTCTGCAGCTCAGCTGTTAAAAGAGGTTCCATACTGTATATGTGTATTAATGTTTTCTTCACTGTCTAATAAACTACATCAAGCTTTTCATGTATTTTTGAAGCTGTTTCTTAGTTAACTCAATTTTCTTTTCTTTCACAAAGTACTTCCCCACTACGCTTTGAGAACATGTACCAAAGACTAAAGTCTAGGGCTAAAGATTACCCTACTCTCTTGACTTTAATAATAGTTGGCAAAGTTATATCAATTGGATTTTGACATTTTCTTAACTGAGTCATCAGTGTGTGTGTTTTCTGAATTGACATTATTTAGGAAGTCAGGAAGGAGAAAAGGATGGCATAGGTGCCAGTTTCCTGCTCATGATCCCACACTTACCAGATCTGTTGAGCAACTGGAGAATAAGAACAGGCAGATGGATCTGCACTTCCTCTCCCTGGCCTCATTTGTGACTCTGTAGGAGTTTTAATGCAGTTCTATTGGTTATTAGTTGGTGGCAGTTTATGGAGCAGTGAAGATTTAGGGCCCTTTGCCAATCTAAAGTTTAGTTTTTAGTATTTAAAGTTTCATTCACGGTTAATACTAGCTTTGATTCCAAACATGTGTTGGCATGAAAATGTGTCTCTTGCCCAGTAAGTTTTGGGGTAGTCAGAAACATAAGGTTTTTGAACTCTTAAGGGATTGTTTTGTTCCACCTGTCTGTTATTAAGAGGGTAAGCTCCTTGCCCAGATCAGGCACTTATTTCTTCATTCCACAGATGTTGACTTTAGGGGACACCACTAAGCACTACTGGCTTATGGGCCTAAAAAAATTAGTAAGACCTAAAGGAGTTTGTTTAGTGAGGACTGCATTTTTGCAAATGAATAATTCCAAAACAATGTACTAAGTGTTATAATAGTGGTTGTAAGAAGTACCCCCCTCTCTACTTATTTTGGGCTGCTGTCCCTATTGCATCTGACTTTTGTCTATTGGTTGTCTTCACAGTTCCTAGAATGCTGCCGCAAGGCCTTTGCACATGCTGTTCTTTCTGCCTGGGAAGCTCTCTAACAATTTTTTGCCTGATCAGTTTTACATATCCTCCAATTTCTGCTTAAATGTCTCTTGAAGGGAAATGATTCTCCTCTATTAGGTTAGGCTTCCCTTTATACGTATAAGACACATCCTGAATATTTTACTACTCTTACTACAGTTGTAATTAAACATTATTTGGGTATTTATTGGGTAATCTATTTCCCTGTTGAATTATAGCTATAAGAGAGGAGAGATCTTGTTTGTCTTGTTTAGGCTTGTATCTCCAGCTCTCTACACAATGTGATAGGTTAATATAACTCTCTTGAATGAATGAATGTGAATGAGTACAGAGCTGAAGGCAGGCAGCAGGTTATGTGGAAATGGGTTCACATATGGGCATGTGGAGTGACCCTGCTGGGAAATATTCACGGAAGTCTTGTTTGAGTTAGGTTCCGAAAGTGGAGTGGGATTTCAGCAGATGGAGAAGGAATTGAAGGGCACAGTTAGCTGCACATACAAAGTACAGGTATATAAGAGAACATAAGAGGTTTCCATATGGCCTTTTTAGGGTAAGCTTTCTCTAAGCATGACTAGATTTAATGGCAGCAGGTCAGGAAGAACTAAAATGGTGAGAGATTCCAGGCATGTCACCTAATTAGAGCAGTAGTGTGAGAAAGAGTGTAAGGATCTGACCTCACCTAATGTCAGTGTGTTGTAAATTAGGGTGTAGGGCAGGAAACAGAATGACTGTAGCTCTTTTAAGGAACAGGGTGCTTACATTGGAAGGGCTGGAAGAGCAAAAATCAGGGAGCCACTACTGGACTAATGGTTTCAAGGCCATATACTAATACTATTGCTACCGCTCCCACCACTACTGCCGCAGCTGCTTCTCACCCATGAAACTGGTGAACTGATGGGGGAATCCGGACTGTGGTTACTGCCGCTGTTCAGTGTCTACTAGACATTTTTGTCAGTTGCCCTTACTATAGGAAGATGGCCTCTGTTGAACTTGTGCCTTCCATGTGCAAATAACTGGCAGACCTATGTCCAACACTTTGCCGGCAAGGGAGTCTTTTAGCTTTCTAATCTCTTCAGAACATAGAAACATGAAGTGAAAGTTGTGAGACTCAATCCGGGAGACTACTACAAGGCAGCGAGGATGGAGAACATTTTCATTAAGTGTTTGATATTTAAGAGTTCTTATATAAACTTATTTTAGAGTAATTCATACTAAAAAGTAAAGTTCACCTTGAGAAAATGATGTTTATGATGATGCTTGTGGGATAAATACATATAAAGGAAATCTGTGATGATAGTTCTGCAAATCTGAAAGTTTCCCCAAAATGCTAACCTTCAGTTTGATGGGTCTGATAATTCTGCTGATCTTGAGGTTTTCTCTGGTGATTATGTGTAGAGCCCTGGTGTCAGAGCTGGGATAGAAACCACTGGTCTCTCTCTGACTCATCAGTTTAAAACTTGGACTGCATGTTGTCCCCTTCCTTTTTTTTTTTTACCTCCCAGTTCTTTTTCTTTGTCATTTTTTTT